GGTTGACTCTTAACTGCCCTCTGGGGCAATTAGGGATGGGGCAATAAATGCTGCCTAGCCAGTGATGCCTACATCCCGTGAATGAATTTTAAAAAAAAAGTTATGACATTTCAAGTGCTCAGCCATATACATTACTGGCTATGGACCAGGAGATGAAAAGAGTAGATAGATTGGTGCAGACCAGATGGGCTGAAGGGACTCTCCTGTGCTGTCTGATTCTGTGACATACAATATGTTTTTGTTGTTATTGCTGTTTTGGGTACCTGTTACAGGCTGCAATTCAATTGCCATTGTTACATGCTTCCCTTAGTTGCTTTTCAAGTGAGGTTTATTTACATAAATACTTGTTTTTTTTCCGCTTCTGACTTGTGGGAAGTGTGTGTTGGTGTTGCTATGTCTTCTTTAACTTGGGTTCTTACTGTCCTCTGTCAGTGCAGCTGACTTCCCTTTTCATCCAGTTCTACCAGATTTCACTAGAAGACAGTGTGACCTGGTTGACTTAAGAGCGACGTTGTGTCAAGGAAGGTGGTTAAAGTAAATGGTAAGGACATGTTCATTTTTGCATTCAGATGAAGTCAGTAATAGTTGAGGCTGTGTAAAGCTTATAGTTAAATTGAATGAACATAATGTAGTCATATTTTTGTCATCAATAAATTTTAAGCAACAAATCTTTTACAATTACTGATACGATGCAGCAGCGGAATTTTTAAAAATAATTTAGAAAATATGACCTATTTGCATTAAAAATAAAATAAAGGCAGTTAACTCGATGACTAAGGTGTAAGATAATTGGCAAAATAATTAGAGAATGAACAGCAATATTCTCTGATCGAAAATGTACTGCCTGAAAAGGGTTGTTCAGATTCAATAATGAGTTTAAAACTTTAATGTCAATTTGAAGAATGTAAAATATAAGGGATATAGCGAATGAACTGTGGAATTGCTTGCTCCTTCTAAGATCCTGATGGGTTGAATATTCTGTAAACTGTGTTGGTCATTTTGGGTCTTCAGGTAGAAAATTTTTCCAAGGAGATTGTTTGAAAATCATTACAGAGATAATAGGAACTGCCGATGCTGGAGAATCTGAAATAACAAGGTGTAGAGCTGGATGAGCACAGCAGGCCAAGCAGCATCACACGAGCAGGAAGGCTGATTTTTCGGGCCGAGACCCTTCTTCAGAAATGGGGAGGGGAAGGGGATTCTGAAATAAATAGGGAGAGAGTGGGAGGCGGATAGAAGATGGATAGAGGAGAGGATAGGTGGAGAGGAGACAGACAGGTCAAAGAGGCGTGCATGGAGCCAGTAAAGGTGAGTGTAGGTGGGGAGTTAGGGAGGGGATAGGTCAGTCCAGGGAGGACGGACAGGTCAAGGGGACGGGATGAGGTTGGTAGGTAGGAGATGGGAGTGGGGCTTGAGGTGGGACGAGGGGATAGTTGGGAGGAAGGACAGGTTAGGGAGGTGGGGACTAGCTGAGCTGGTTTTGGGATGCGGTCGGGGGAGGGGAGATTTTGAAGCTTGTGAAGTCCACATTGATACCATTGGGCTGCAGGGTTCCCAAGCGGAATATGAGTTGCTGTTCCTGCAACTTTCGGGTGGCATCGTTGTGTCACTGCAGGAGGCCCAGGATGGACATGTCGTCTGAGGAATGGGAGGGGGAGTTGAAATGGTTCGCGACTGGGAGGTGCAGTTGTTTAGTGCAAACCGAGCGTAGGTGTTCCGCAAAGTGGTCCCCAAGCCTCCGCTTGGTTTCCCCGATGGAGAGGAGGCCACAATGGGAACAGCGGATGCAGTATACCACATTGGCAGATGTGCAGGTGAACATCTGCTTGATGTGGAAGGTCTTCTTAGGGCCTGGGATGGGGGTGAGGGAGGAGGTATGGGGGCAGGTGTAGCACTTCCTGCGGTTGCATGGAAAAGTGCCGGGTGTGGTGGGGCTGGAGGGGAGTGTGGAGCGGACAAGGGAGTCACGGAGAGAGTGGTCCCTCCGGAAAGCAGATAAGGGTGGGGAGGGAAAACTGTCTTTGGTGGTGGGGTCAGATTGCAGATGGCGGAAATGTCGGAGGATGATGTGTTGGATTCAGAGGTTGGTGGGGTGGTACATGAGGACGAGGGGGATTCTGTTTTGGTTGTTATTGCGGGTAGGGGGTGTGAGGGATGAATTGCGGGAAATGTGGGAGACACGGTCGAGGGCATTTTCGACTACTGTGGAGGGGAAGTTGCGGTCCTTGAAAAAAGAGGACATCTGGGATGTCTGGGAGTGGAATGCCTCATCTCGGGAGCAGATGTGGCGGAGGCAAAGGAATTGGGAAAAGGGGATGGCCTTTTTGCAGGAAGGTGGGTGAGAGGAGGTGTATTCTAGGTAGTTATGGGAGTCGGTAGGTTTGAAATGGATATCGGTTTCCAGGTGGATGCCAGAGATGGAGACAGAGAGGTCTAGGAAGGAGGGAGAGGTATCAGAGATGGCCCAGGTGAACTTAAGGTTGGGGTGGAAGGTGTTAGTGAAGTGGATGAACTGTTCGAGCTCCTCGTGGGAGCACGAGGCGGCGTCGATACAGTCATCAATGTAACGGAGGAAGAGGTGGGGGATAGAGCCAGTGTAGCTTTGGAAGAGGGATTGTTGACGTATCCTACAAAGAAGCAGGCATAGCTTGGGCTCATGCGGGTACCCATGGCCACCCACTTTGTCTGTAGGAAGTGGGAGGAATTGAAAGAGAAGTTGTTGAGGGAGACGACGAGTTTGGCTAAGCGGATGAGGATGTCAGTGGAGGGGGACTGGTCGGGCCTGCGGGACAGGAAGAAGCAGAGGGCCTTTTGGACATCTGCATGGGGAATGCAGGTGTATAGGGACTGGACGTCCATGGTAAAGATGAGGTGTTGGGGACCGGGGAATTGGAAGTACTGGAGGAGGTGGAGAGTGTGGGTGGTGTCACGGACATAGGTAGGGAGTTCCTAGACCAAAGGGGAGAAAATGGAGTCAAGATTTGTGAGGGAAACAATTTTGGAAGGGCTTTTAGAGATAGAGACAGACAGCCATTGTGAAAGATGCCAGGGGCAGGCAAATGAAGAAAAGTGTCCATTCTGCCAACTACAGCTGGAGGTCTCCTGCGAGCTTTATCAACACTGAGCTGCAACCACTTCAACCAAAACATTTATCTGCTCTATTTTCCATCAAACACTCATTGGATTGGAAATTGCTGGAGATCACATATTTTTTTTTTGTTTTCAGTATAGATTCCAGCATCTGCAGTAATTTGCTCCCAATCATTGAACTGGGCTGAGCCCGTCACCATTCATCAAATTTGTGAGCATGAATAGAATTGTCTCATGTCATCTGTCCACTATGGGCCATGGTTTTGGGCTCCTGAGCTCCATTGGAACCTGGAATCCTTATAGCACAGTCTGTGCTGCTGACCACTTGTGCAACCCAGAACATAATTCTGGGATATGTAAGCCGATGGTATGAGAAGATTCTGGATAATGTGATACACTTTTCACAAACTTGTTCCATGTACACTCACTGGACATTGTGTAGTCTTTCTTAGCTGAGCAGGCATTAATTAGCATTAACGTTTACCACCCAGTGCTATACAAAGGTCTATTCTTCAGTGGTAATGATGTAATAGTTAAATCACTGGATTAGTCATCCAGAAACTGTGGTTGATATTCTAGGGACATGGGTTTTTTTCTCTCACAGCATGGTGCGTGAAGAGGTGGTGGAAGCTGGTACAAGGCTGCTGATAAAATTTAATACCTATTAACAAATTTGCAATATTAGTCTACATCCTCTAATGGTGTGTTGAAACTACTCCTGATACTTGTCAGCCATCCATCAGGTTCATTAATGGCCTTAAGGGAAGGGAATCTGCTGTCCTTAATTTGTTTAGCCTCCATTTGGATGCAAATGGAGGAGACATTGGTGTAATGGTAGTGTTATCAGGCTAGTAATCAGGAACATCTGGTGACATGGGTTCCATGGCAGAGGGTGAAATTTGAAATTAATCAAATGTCTGGTATTTAAAAAGTTGGTTTTACAGAATGGAAACAGATCCTTTGGTCTAACTTGTCCATGCCAACCAAATATTCTAAATTAATTTTGGCCCATATCCCTCTAAATGATTCCTATTCAGGCACCCATCCAGATGTGTTTTAAATGTTGTAATTGTACCAGCCTCCACCACCTCCTCACACCATCCTTTGCATGAAAAAGGTTACCCTTTAGGCCCCTTTTAAATCTTTACCCTCTCACCTCTTATGGCAACTCTGTAACCACTTCTGTTTGTTCTAAAATCCCATCTGGTTTACTAACACCCTTTAGGAAAGTAAATCCTCACCCAGTGTGGCCTATATGTGACTTCAGACCCACAACAAGGTGGTCGATCCTTAAATGCCCTCTGTGCAATTAGGGTTGGGCAACAAATGTTGGCCTAGCCTGTAGCAGCCCCATCCCATAAATGAACAAAACCAAAATCATCTGTAGTAATGCGGTTAACTCTTAATTGCCCTCTGAAATGCCCCTAGCAAGCCCCTGTGTACACCAGCAATTAGGAATGGGCAAGAAATGCCCACTTTGCCAGTCAGGCTCACAACCCAGCAAGGGAGAAATAAATCCATTCTGCGACAGAGGTGTTTTTGTTTTACCTTTGCTGTAGCAAGTACTGTGGCTTACGGTTTTCAGAAGGCTTTGAGGCAAGTTGCAGCATGCGTTGAGGAGGAGCAAAGAGACTATTTCTCTAAGTGTGTATGCTGCATGTGGGTCATGGGTTGTATGCCTCTGGCTCTGTAGCATAGCTCAGAAATAGAGCTGAGCAGGTACAGACAGGAAGCTCTGCAAAGGTAGAGAGGAAGATGAGTGAGGGTAAATGCTGACCACAGAAGGATCAACATGGCATAGGAGTTTTGAGGGAGCACTTCACACATTTTCAACCTCCCCCCACCAAAGCAACCCCACTCTCCAGCCAGGAGCAATGCCCAATGCAACACAGATTCAACTAGGTGGTAATAGCAGGTTGTACAGGGGCTGGAGTCTCACACCAGAGAAAGCATTATACTGCCAGTGGTCATCAAAGTCACAGTGGCAAGGAACTGGAAGCAGCAGACATATTGAGTAACTCCACCAACTACAATGCTTTGGGAAGGAAACTAGATCCGTCTATACAGGCAGATCCGAATAGGTGAAGGGTGAAGCTGGGTGAGATACCACATGGCTTTGTCAGGACAGTGGGTTTCCCAAACATGCCAGGCATGATAAACTGCTGACAAAAAGCTCTGTAGGCTAATTTCCATCCTCTGAATGGAGGGCTGTAGGAACTGCAAGGGCTACCATTTTATCTTTGCGGAATGGTATGTGACCGCAGGTGGCACAACATGGCAAACTGTTGGCAACCACCACAAGGTTTCTATATGCAGCCAGTCTCCCGTGCCAGAAAGGGTTGCTGCTTGGAGGCAGGGACACCTCACGTGGACCTCATTGAGGACATTCCTGCACTCGCATTCCCTCACTCCTCCCCTACCATCCACCCATACACCGACAACACGTGTAAA